TTGGTGGGCGAGATGGTGCATCCCTGCAAGTTCTCGGTGTTTTTACTTATGTTTGCTCTTTGCAGTTAGAGTGCGAGTAATAGTCGGTGTATAACCTTTCTTGCTTCGTAATTATTTGAGTATATATACTTTGTGTGTGGCAACTCAGATGATTGTCACTCTTGAAGAATTACACCCCACCTTTGACTTGAGGGATATTTTAATTATTTTTCCTAGCGCAAATACCATAATCCTTCACTTACCTTTTGTAAGTCGGTCCCCTTACTGCCTTTTGCATAAGGGATGTCTCTTGCCGTTGCAAGTTCTTGGTGTTTTTACCCGCGTTTGCTCTTTGTAGTTAGAGTGCGAGTAAGAATGGATGTATAACATGTATTTCTTCTTAATTGTTTGAGTATCCATACTTTGTGTGTGGCAATTCAGATATTTTTCACTCTTGAGGAATTATACCCCGACTTTGGCCTGAGGGATAATCATCATCCAAAGGGCTTCTTTTAGCTTCTTATTCTACAAGTTAGGAGTAAAGTTTTCTCTTCAAGAGTTCGAGGTTTCCTTTGTCGTTTATGTGTCAAAATATCTTTTCCGTGCTTCAAGACTTATCTTCCTCAAGGGAACTTCTCAAGAACATTAGCTTTGTGTGAGGTCATGGGGTTTTCAGTTAAGATTGTTTGGTGGATTGAACTGCTAACCAGGGGCCACGACACAATATATGAACTTTTGGGTTCATTCTTGGTCAAGAAAATTTGTGTTCTCATCATTGTTATTTGTTGTTTGCAATTTGAAGAAGACTTGGAAATTTAAAAAAGAAGTAAAGTGAAAGGTGCATGTCTTAAGACATAAGTTGGCATGAAAGGTGAAGTTATGGATTTTTTTCACTTTTGTTCAAGGTGTGTTTATACAAGTTACTTGTGAGGATTAAAGGATTGAAGATATGGTTCCTTTGAGAGATGAAGCTTAATTTGGATTCTTGGTTTGGTTAAACATTCATTCAAGTGGTATGATGTGTTCAAGTGGATTGAAATTTCTTAAGCTTGCAAATTTGGAAATTGGGAAGCAAGATACAAAAGCATATCAATTACAGAAAAATGATCATCACATTGCTTCTAAACAAATTTCATCAAAGTGTTATACATCATCAATACTTGTTCATGGCATTAAGCTAATTAAATAGCATGGATAATTGGACATAGAATCCATATTCATTGAAGCATCATTCAAATTTCATCCATAAGTTTCATCATCCAAATGTCAAAATTACATTTATATTCATCATTCATCAAGTTGATTTCAAAATCATTCATGTCCATTTTTTTATAAACCAAAATCCAATCAACACAGGTCCGTAAACTTTGTTTCACATGCTACAAAACTGCTTGAAATCATGTTTCAAAATAGATTCAGAAATCAATGTCATTCACTTTTCTCCTTGTCCATAAGCCTTGTCCAATACAAGTCCAAAGATTATTTCAGTGGATTGTCCATAAGCTATGCAATCGGTCCAAACCATTTCCTTGTACTTAATCCAATTATATGCTTCAGTTCAACATAACCAATTCACAAAAATTGAACTGCACTACTCTAAAACTCATGCCATGCAGCATCAAACACGAAACAGTTGAAAATGCATCAGGAAAAGAGGAATAAATCAGAAAAGGTTGAAACTGTGTGAAGATAAAATTAGGACAGAAAATATAGCTCAGCAAAAATATCACACAAACTTTCTAACCAAGTTTAAACAAATGCAATCCCCACCCTTCATTTATCAGAACAAATTTTCAATCCAAGGGTCAAGTTTTGTTGAATCTGTAACAAACTTTTGTACACTCTCTCTGCTATATAACAAAGAGAAAATCTCACAGCAAAGGACAACACAATCTCTCTCTCTCTCTCTCTCTCTCTCTCTCTCTCTCTCTCTCTCTCTCTCTCTCTCTCTCTCTCTCTCTCTCTCTCTCTCTCTCTCTCTCTCTCAGAATACACGATTCATTCCTCATACAAAAAGTTCAGAGAGAAAACTCATACCGAATAATACACAACAAAATACCCACATGATTCATATTCATTCATCATGTAGCAGTAAAAAGTTGAGACTAAGTCATTGATTGACTTAACTCGTAACAGTAAAAGTCGTCATCGTACTTTGTTGTTTCCAAAGAGGAAATAGTAAAAGAGCGAATAAAACTTAAAGTAAATATAGATCTAGATATGGGGGCCTATTATGCAAAGGGAAGATATTAGCACCCTAAACATCTGTTGTACTCAACAAGATCCATTATGTTTGTTCTAATCAAAAGGGCGTGTTATCTAAAGCTTAAACTTGCTAAAGGGAATACATGAATGCAAAGTATATACAAAAAGAATTTTTTTTATTAATGCACTCTCCGCGGTTGTGAACCTTTATGTATATGTACCCTCTTCGTGCAATGAGAGATCGGGACACTCGTAGTTCACCTAAAAAAGTGTTTTGGTTTATTGTGTATTTTTTATGAACAATGCTAGTGAAACATGTCCTTTTTGAAAGGGATTCACTATGTTTGATCTAATCAAAAGAGCGTGTTATCTAAATATTAAACTTGCTAAAGGGAATGCATGAATATAAAGTATATACAAAAAGAAATTTTTTTATTAATGCACTCTCCGCAGTTGTGAACCTTTATGTATATGTACCTTTTTCGTGCAATGAGAGATCGGAACACTCGTAGTTCACCTAAAAAGGTGTTTTGGTTTATTGTGTATTTTTTTATAAACAATGCTAGTGAAACATGTCCTTTTCGAAAAAGGTTAAAAGAAAAAGTCCAAATAAAAAATGATTTGAAATGGTTGGTGTTTTTGTTATTTGTGAAAGGAGTTTGTGATTTAAAATATACAAAAGACTATGAATGGAGAAAGAACAAACTTCGTGAATGGACCCACTCATCCTTTTCCATTGCTTAAGGTTCATGGTAGTGTGATTCTAATCATTAGTTGTTAAATGTTTTAGAGTTTGAAAAGAAAACAAGATTTTAGTTTTAAATGAATGCAAAAGAGAAAAACTAATCAAAAGGGGATCTCAATCTCACAAATTGTCATACTTGTGGACCTAAAGTTAGGATAAGGGGATGCTTTTAAAAATTAAAGAAGAATGATAGGAGATGAATGGACTATCCTATGTACACAAAGTAAGAGCTAAGGTAAGGAAAGATCTAAGTCACAAGCACATAATATATCAATGTAGAGTTTCATCCTTTGGATCAAAACCAGAAGCACTTAATAGACCAAGAACATATCAATTATCATATGAAAATAAATCACAAGTAAGAAAGTATCAAATAAATTCAAGGTTTTAAAACCTAATGCAAGGTCTTCAATATTGAGACATGTGCCATAAAAATAACTTAAGGCCAACATAATAACACCTGCACACAGAAGATTTCTCAATACACAGACAAAATAATAGTAAGACAATATGATGTTCAAAAGTCTCAAGGTCTCCAAGTATCAAGGCTTCTAATCCTAAGTCCAGGGAATCCACAACTCCACAATACCAAAGATAGTAACCAAGTAGTCCACAAAAGAATTAAGTCTTTTAATATTCAAGTTGATTATTAAGTATCTTTAAAAGAAAAAGAAAGCTCAAATGAGTAAAGATAAAATGACATAGAATAAAAATCAAGTGAGTAAATGGAAAATAGTATGAGAGCACAAAGTAGGATCAATAATGATTGAATGATAACCTTGGACCAGAGGACAATGAAGACTTATAGTTTCATAGGATGGACCCAAATATAACAAATTAACCATCATTGGACGTTCAAACATATAGTTTGGGTCATGAATGATCACTTTTCGATTCAGGACAAATTTAACACTATGTTAAGCAATCGCAGACGGACTTATGTAAAAGTCGATACCTTACGAGGTCAGTCAATAATAATTTATGTACCACACATGTTAGAGATATGATAGAAATCATACTCCTAAAACATGTAGCACAGGTAAAAACAAAGGTGATCAAGACCTAGGTCATGAAAGATACCTTATGACGAACTTTCACCAATGTTAAGTACCTTGAATGATCGAAGGATCACCTAGAGGTAGTTTAGAAATGTTAAAAGTTTATCAACTATCCATAAGCTTAGATGAACTTAAAGTTCAAATGCCTTATCCAAATTGATCAAAAAAATAAAGGGGATGAAGAGATAGACAAGAATTAAATCTCACATTTGAACCAAATAATTTAATCAAGCTATCATTAAAATCAATCCATTTTGGTGGAGTTAAACTCAACACCCAAGATCCAATGATGTTAATGAAACCGATGACCAAAAATCTTATGATCCAAGACCAGCACAAAAATATATACAAAAATTAATTGCAATTAACACCATAAAAGCAAATAAAAATATGGTTAATTAATTGGAATTAATTGATGAAATACACAAATTGTATCAAAACACCAAATAAAAACTCCAAGAAATTACCATAAGTCAAATATCAGTAAAAAATTATTGAAATTTTTTTAATAATTTTTTAATGTATAAAAACATTTTTTTAACTAATAAAAATCACTCAATTAAGTGAAAAATAATTAAAAATAATAATAATTAAAATTAAATTCCATAAAAATTACACTAAGTCACAAATGAGATGATGGAATTTTGTGAATTGCTTCAGAATTTTTAGGCGAAAAATAAATTTAATATGATTTTTTAAAGATAAAAATGAATTAAAATAGAATAGAAAAAAAATTAAAGCAGAAAAATTTATAGCCCTTAGATCTGAGTCAACAGGCAGATTTATGTAGGATCAATGATCTAGAGGGCAAGTACACTGTAAGTATAGTGAATACAAGCGCGGAGAATCAAATTGCAGTTCAATCTTTTCAAATGAGGACAGGTGGCGGAGGGACACTTGTCCTCCTTACATAGGTCGGCGGTAATCCCAAAGACAGAGAAAGAAAATGAATTTTGAAATAAGCATTTAATAAAACAACTCTTCAGATTTTTTTTTAAAAACTTTCTTCCTCTTCAGAGACCCCACGGTCTCTCTCTCTTTCGTAATACATCATCTTCATCCTTAAAAACCAAAACAAAACAGAAAAGAAAATGAGAGAGAGAGAGAGGGCGAAAGGGTGCCGGAAAAGAAGAACATGTGCTAACAACTTTTGCTTCTTCTCTTTCTTTTTCATGTATTGATGATGAATGGTGAATCATGGAAGATTGTTGAAGAACGAGTGAATTCGATACACAATCATGATAAGGAGCGTGAAGAATGATTGAAGAAGGGAAATCTTGGAGCTTGGCATGGAGGATTAGATCAAAAAGCCTGGATGTTTAGAAGAAACGAAGAATTGAATTCTCTTGAATATGCTTGTAACTTGCAAATTGGGTTTTAGAAAACTTGGTTTTTTTAATGTGAATGCAACTTGGAATTTGTATGAAACTTGAAACTTTTCTTATGTTGGATTGATGAAGTTTCTTTGAACCTTATGCCATGGAACTTGAAAAACAAACTTAGACAATAGAAAATTTGAATTCTCTTGAGGATGTAATTTGGAATTTGGCCAAAGAGACTCTTGAATTCTCTTGTATGTTGAAGTGGAATAATGATCTTGAATTATGCCTTAAAAAGTGTTTGAAATTTTAGCTTTATGAAACTTGATGAAGTACTTTGAAAGTTTTTATTCTTGAAAAGTGAACGAATATGTCTTAATGAAATAACTTGAAGCTTTATTCTTTTAAAATTTGAGGGCTCTTGAATTATAAATATGTAGAAATTGAACTTGAAATATATTCGAAGAGCCTTGGGTAAAAGACTTGAAAATTGAAGTTGGAACGATAGAAAGTGAATGACATTTGAATGATGAATCTTGAATCTTTCTTGTAAAATTCCAAACTCATAAGAGTGAGAATTTCCTCTATCTTTTGAATTTGAACTTTTGACACAAAATCTTTCAATCTCAAGTAACACAAATTCAAAATAAACAAATCATCCATACTTGAAACAAATAGGCTTAGGAAATGGTCTTTGATAAATTCATTAACCAAAACATCAAACAAATCATAAATTCAAGAAATAATCAAATTCCATTTTAAATATTGATGAGATCTTAATCCATAGCAAAAACATTTTGACTTGAACAACTAATAACCTCAATACAAGAAATTAAAAGAAGCATTCATGTCATAAATTGAAATTATAGGTCAAGAGAGTACTAAGTCCAAAATGACATGTAATGTTTCAATAAATTTTATGGTTTTCTAAGCACAATTGGCTCTTGATCCTTGAAGCAATCTTGTAGATAACATCTTGAAGAGTATCTTGCAAAAAATAATCGTCCTAAAATATTGAGAATTGAAAGAATTATGATCCTTGAAAGTTGGACGAAAGTCACTTGAAATTTGGTCAAAGTCACAAAACGACCTCTAATGTACTCAAACTTTTGATGGCTTTCTACACATAATTAGCTCTTGACTTGTAAAGAGAAATTGGAGAGGATGTCAAAAGAAATCATACCCAAAAATAACCACTCAAAAATAATGAATAATGAATAAATTATGATCGTTTGAACTCGAACTTGAAAATGTTAACTTTTGGTCAAACCAACTTTGAATCATCTTGCAAACTTGATCTTTTTGGCAACCCATGACATGTTAACACACATATGAACATGAGATTATGAAATATTGATAAAAACCATGTTCACACTTGTCAGAACTTGAGATTATTCATCAAAGAAGACATGGAAATAAACACATGAACTTATCTCGAAGAGTCTTGAGACTTAGGCGACCAAACTCGTCCAAACCATGTTGAATAAAGCTTGAGGATAGCGTGACCTAAGATTATAGATCACAACTCTGAAAAATAGGCCTTTGTCAACCAGCCTTTGGCTTGAACAATCCACAATCCTAATTGGGGAACCATCACTTGAATTTCTCGATCAAAAACCCTATATTTAAAATATAAAAAACAAGACTTATTTTTTTATTTTGGTTAGAGGTCAGTAAAATATAAAACACGTGTATAAAATACACAATTAGAGTACTTGATGATATGGGATGGTATAGGATCTTATGGGCGGAAATCGTGATATAACACATCACAGAAGAAAATTGCACAAGAAACTCGCCTCTAAACCCTCTTTGAGAATCATCTTTATCACACACTTCAACCTTCATTCCATCTTCACCTGATTCAAGCAACCAAATCTGCTTCAACAAACTTTTTCATCATCTTCTACAACAAACTTCTTCTGCAGCTTGTCATCATCTCCGTTAATGCTTTATCAACATCGAAATCCGAAAACACTCTACAACAACATTGCTTCAAATACAACACATCAACACTGTAAATTGTAGAAGAAATCAGAGACGCGAAATCACGAGTTTGAAACGGGCGAGTTCGGGACGGGAAGTTAAAGATGAAGCATGGTCACGGCGGATGAGGCTTGAGCGCTGCAAACTGAAGCGATTGACAGAGGGGTAGTGCTGTCGCGGATTTGATTGAGGAAGAAGTGTTGGAAATCCACCAATACTCTATGGTGAATTTCGACCACCACTGATGATTAGTTATGAGACAAACAAAGAAAAGACAATAGAGATATTTCTGCAGAGTTTCTCTCTGCCCACAAACTGTGGAAATTTTATTATTCACTTTGCAACTGCAAAATACTGTGAATGACTTGATTACAAAATAGGGGTTACTCCCTCTATTTATAGATTTAGGTTAGCTTGCTCCCTAAGCTAAAACCCAAGCCCAAAATATATTTTTACTAAATCAAATCTAATCAAATCTATTCTAGACTTAAATTCAAATCTATTTAAATCTAAAACAAAATCAAATCTAATTTTGACACATATGAATTACAATTTAACACACCACCTAATTCATTGTGTCTAAACTGTCTATGTTCATCATGGCCCTTAGCTTTCTGAATACTTCGACTTGCACTCCCTTCGTCATGATGTCTGCAATTTGATTCTCAGTTCTGCAGTGTTCCAAATTCATCTTCCCATCTGTTACCTGCTCTCGAAGATAATGGAACCTCATTTCGATGTGCTTACTTCAACCATGTGCTATTGGGTTCTTCGCCAGATTAATAGCTGACATGTTGTCTATCTTCATGGTAATTGCTCCATGATTTTTCCCTGTTATCTCTTCGACCAAGCTCATCATCCAAGTTGCTTGACATGCACAAAGAGAAGCAGTTATGTATTCTGCTTCACATGATGATAATTCCACTACTGGTTCCTTTCTTGAATTCCAAGCAATTGGTGCACCACCTAGCATAAACACATATCCTGCTGTTGACTTTCGATCTTCAGCATCACTACACCAACTCGAATCAGTGTATCCCACTAACTTGCATTCTTTTCCTTTATCAACTGCAGGAAACAAAATGCCATAATCGAAAGTTCCTTTGAGATACCTTAGTATCCTCTTCACTGCTGCTAGATATGATACCTTTGGCTTCTGCATGAATCTACTTACCATACCTACACTGTATGCTAAGTCAGGCCTTGTATGACAAAGATATCTTAATGATCCAATAAGTCTTCTGTATTAGGTTGGATCAACATCATCTTCATCTGCATTTTTCGACAGTTGCAGTCTTAGTTTTGCAGGTGTCAAAGTTGAGTTGCATTCTTCCATCTCAAACCTCTTGAGAATTTCTCCTGCATATCTTCTTTGATACATCAGCAAACCTCTACTGCTCTTGTAGAATTCGATACCAAGGAAATATGAAATCTCACCCAAATCAGACATTTCGAATTCCTTGTTGAGATCACCTTTGAAGTCTTCGATCTCACTCTTGCAGCTACCTGTTATCAACAAATCATCTACATAGAGACATAGTATAAGCAATTTACTCTTGCTTCTTCTTACATATACTCCATGTTCAGTTATGCACTTCACAAATTCCTTCTCCCTTAGAAAACTATCAATTTTCTTATTCCAAGCCCTTGGAGCTTGTTTTTATCCATACAGGGCTTTATGTATCATGTACACCTTTCTTTCTTCGTCATGTTTCACAAACCCAACTGGTTTTTTAACATAGACTTCTTCATCTAAGGGTCCATTTAGGAATGCACACTTCACGTCCATCTGACATATGTGCCAACTGTTGATTTCTGCTAGACCAACAACCAGTCTGATTGTTTCGATCCTAGCAACAGGTGCAAAGACTTCGTCAAAGTCTATTCCTTCTTTCTGTAGAAATCCTTTCGCCACAAATCTTGCTTTGTGTCGAGTTACTTCACCTTTCGAATTCGTCTTCACTTTGTATACCCACTTGACATCAATTGCCTTCTTGCCTTGAGGAAATTCGACAAGTGACCAAGTGTTGTTGTCTTCGATAGACTTTACTTCTTCGTTCATTGCTTTCACCCACTTCGAATCCTTTAATGCTTCAGCTGCATTAACAGGTTCGACATCTGCATAGAAAGCATAATGTACCAGCTCACCTTCATCATCTATTACATCATCTGATGTAATCACACAATCTTGCAATCTTGCAGGCATGCGTCTTGTTCTTTGAGGCCTGCTTGTACTAGGTATATCTGCTGGTTTCTCTTGTCGAACTTATCTTTCGACTTGAGTTTCTGGCTCTTCGAATAAGATTCCCACTGAATCTTTCTTGACATTTGCAGTCCAATCCCATTCTTTGAACTCATCTATGATCACGTCCCTGCTGATCACAGTCTTCTTGTTCTCTGGATCGAACAACTTGTAGCCTCCTGTCGAATGATATCCAACTAGGATCATTTGACTTGACTTGTCATCAAGTTTTTTTCTCAACTGATCTGGCACATGTCTATGTGCAATAGATCCAAATACCTTCAGATGACTTAAGCTAGGCTTCACACCAAACCAACATTCTTCTGGAGTAATTCCTTCTAGCTTCTTTGTAGGACATCTGTTCAAAATATAAGTTGCAGTCGAAACAGCTTCACCCCAGAACTCTTTAGGTAAATTCTTGCCTTTCAACATACTTCTCACCATATTCATGATGGTTCGATTTTTCCTTTATGCAATTCCATTTTGCTGTGCAGTATAGGGTGGCACCACCTCATGCACAATCCATTCCTTTTCACATAATCTGTCGAAGTCTTTCGACACATATTCTCCACCACCATCAGTTCTCAAAACTTTGAGCTTTCGACCACTTTGTCTTTCGACCATGGACTTAAACTTGGTAAATACTTCGATC